GCCAGGGCCATCCTCACAACTGCTGGTGCACTTGAGCCCATTGAAGCAGCCCCGTATCAATCCATCTCTTCGAAGGCCCTCCGCTCTGTCGCTGCCCCTCCACTTTAGCAAGCATCTGCAACCCCAGGGACTGCTCTCTCCAGGCCGGTCGGAGCGCAAAATCAGTGCCCCTCCTCATGAGATGTACAAGCACCCGGGGCCCTTGGGGCAGTGCATGCCAGGCACTCGACCGCCTGGGTGCGCAGTCCACTTATGTTTTGCTCCCTGAGTATCACTTTCTAGCGTTTCTAACACTGAAAATCTGTATGGGAACAGAAAGTCTCGTTTTTCTCCCCCAAAGAGGCTAGTGGGCTTGAACCACTGATTCTTTAGTCCATACAGAGTCAACTATGCCACCAGGGCTTCTGAATAGTCCAGTTTTATCTGGCTTTGTCCAAAATGAACTTGCAGGTTATCTGAGGAATTGATGGATTGTACATTTGTTAGTCACTCATCATTAGTTCATAAACAATTGATGGCAATTCAATATTCTCTCTCACGAGCATCTTGAACATTGCCTCTATTTCTGAATGAATACAGACTGACGTACGTTAAGAGGCATTTAAACCAAGGCTAGAGTCTGCATTCACTCATGAAAATTGAGAGACCGAGCAGGGTTGTATAAATTCCTCCACAGTCATTTCCAACGTCCTTGTGATAAGACAACAATTCTTTTTGAGAAATGGCCTTAAAAGTCCCCATGATGAAGCAGACAAGATTCTAGAACCCCCTCCTCCACACGCACACACACACTCTGAGGCCTTTACAGTTCTCTTTTTTTTTTTGTATCCCTCTTATTTGAGTTGAGGCTCTGATGTGCCAGAAAAGTCTTTGGTCATTGGGAAGGTAAAAGACCCTCCCTGGCATGCTGCATTTCTTCTACAACGCTCCTCATTCTAGTCCGAGTAGAATACGAACAGTCTTGTCTGATATGCATTTGTCCTACTTGCTAAGACAATGCAACTGTCTTTTTCTCACACAATGGTTGGAAATGGACCTTTCGTTAATAAGCTTCAAGTCAGTGCCAGACTGTAACTAGTGATTGCTGATTTGGACAAGGCAGCCCTAGTGGCACTGTTGGATGAGAGTCAGGCTACTAACTGCAGAAGGAAAATAAGGTGCTCTGCTCCCACAAAGATGTACAGCCTGGAAACCCAAATCGGCAGTTCTGTTTTATTTTGTAGGGTCACTACCGGCAGAATTGTCAAGGATTTTGTCTTGTTTGGATTCTCAATCAATGCTCATAAAAGCATCAGTTCAGAGATTTAAAAAAAAAATTGCGTTAGGTGAATATGCTGCACCAGAAGAGCACGAAGGTGGGCTTCGCCTAAGCCGTGGTGTTTCAGTGGCCTCATAAGCAGGTGACAATTGGACATTGACTGAAGAAGACTGGAGAGAATCGATGCTTTGAATGGTGGTGCTGGGATACTGGGAATGCCATGGATCACTAAGAGGACAAGCTGATCTGCTTTGGGACAAGTACACCAGAGTGCTTCTTAGAGGCAAGGGTGGCGAGGCGTGGCCTTAAATACTTTGGACATATTGTCAGGAGAGACCAGTCCCTGGAGAAGGACAATCCTTGGTCAAGTAGGGGGGCCACGATGAAGAGGAAGACCCCAAGGACACGGATGGACAGTGTGGCTGTAGCAATGGGCTCAAGCAGAGGAACAGTTGTGAGGATGGTGCAGGACGGGACAGTGCTTTGTTCTGTTGTGCACAGGGTCACGATGGGTCAGAATCAACTCCATGTTGGGTGAGCAGACAGGACTGGATGGCAGTGGGGTGGAGTTTTACTTCGGGCTGGACTGAGCCTGTGAGCCAGGTAGAGGCAAAGTCCTGAGTTTCCTTACCTAACCCACTTTCTCTTCAATCTCTCTGCCGGGCCTCTCCTCCCACAAAACCTGTCATCTCCTGCTAGCTCAGTGCCATGTCCGCCGAGTGGATGGCAGTGGCTTAGAGGAGCAGGCCCAGGAGTGCTGGCTCTGTGAGTTGGAGAGAGCTGCCCATTGAAGTGAAAAATTAACGACGAAAAGCACTGGGCCCCTTCCACACCGAGTGCCAGAACATTCCTACAGAGAGCGCTTAGACCAGCCGGCCCTAATGACTTTAACAACGTACCGCCATCTATTTTATTTAGAAGATGAGGAGGCTCTTAAATCTTTCTTTCATTTGGGTTCAGTTTCTGGCAAGAGCTTCCTTTGGTCGGTGTTCCTCTGTTCCCCCCTTACTGTTTCACAGAGGAGCCCTCCTGGTGGAGAAGTCCCACGTTGGGCTGCTAACTGCAAGGTCAGCACTTCAAAACCACCTGCCCCTCTGGGGGAGAAAGATAAGGGTTTCTATTCCCATAGAGGTTTCAGCTCAGAAATCCATGGGTGGGGCGGGGAGTGTTCTACCCTGTCCTATAGGGTAACTTTGAGTCGGAATCAATTCAGTAGAAGTGAGTTTGGTTTATACAAACTCCATGAACCCAGTATGTTCACAGAGCCACTGTAAAAATGCCACCAACATGGAAGGACTTTCCGTGAGGAGGAAGAACGGTCAGGTGCCTTGCACTATCTGAGGAGGACGCTGTGCCGGTGATAAAGCGGGACGGGTGCTTCATTCTGTTGGACGTGACGTCACCACGAGCCTCTGCCAACCTTACGACAGCGTGCCTCTCTTTGGGACAATATGACTTAGGAGGGAAAGTCTGTTTTAGAGGTAGACACAACCGATTGAGAATCACCATTTGTGTTAGTCTGGGTCCTTTAGAGAAACAAATCCACAGAGATTTTTATGAATAAGAGAGAGTTCTATATAAAGGGTACGTGCACATCAAGAAAACATTCCAACCCAGTGCTGCCCAAGCCCACAAGTCCAACATTAGGCCATATGTCCGACACCAATCCACAAAGTCCTCCTCCATCTCACAAAACACACGCAACCACACCGACTGCAGGAGGAAAGCTGAGTCAGTGAACATGTAAGCATCTCAGTGCTGGCAGGGGTCTCCACACAGGTGCTCCAGCACCCAGGGCTGCATCGGGGTAGGTCCATGTGGCTTCTCCTTGGAAATGTCTTGCAGGAAGTGAGCCTTGCCAGCTGAAGCAGGGAACTGGCTAAGGCAGCTGCACCCTGGTCCGACCATCACAAAGCAAGAGACCTGAGAACTAGAAAGGTGAGGATTACTGAGCCATTTATCCCTCTGCCCTTCAATTAACCCCACAAGTATTTATCAGCCAGGTTGGCACAATAAACTTTAACTCACCATTCTAACTGAACATTGGAGATATATTATTGTCATCACTATTATGCTGTAAGAATCCCCAATAGTGCAACAGGTTAAGAACTAGGCTGCTAATTGTGAGGTTGCTGGCTCAAATCCCCCTGTCACGCCACAGGAAAAACATGAGGCTCCCCACTCCTATAAAGATTTTCAATCTCAGATACCCTAAGGAGCAGTTCCACTCTGTTCTGTAGGACCCCTGTGATTGAGTGTTACTGCTGTGTTCAATGACTGCCACTTATCAAATGCTTCGTATGGGCCCGGCACTTTCCTTTAATCCTGCTAGCAAATTTATGAACTGAGTAGATAATTGGTTTTTGGAATGTAAAGTTTGGCAGTTAAGAGTCGAAGGGAAGCTCTGGGGCCTCGCTGCTGCTTAAAGTGCCAGATCCTTTGCGTCCTGGCTTTGTGGGCTCGGACCTCTCAGTCTCTTGGGCCCAGTTTCTCCTCCTGTAAAGTGGACATGTTGACCATGCCTGCCTCCTGGATTGCTTGAGGGTGGAGAGCATGTGTTGACTATGTTGACAGTGGCTAGAGAGTGTCTGGCAGGGGAACGTTTACGTTTAATTAATACTGGTGGAGATGGAGTTTAATCAATACTGTGCAGATGGAGTGTGTTAAAGGGCACATAGCTAATAAAAGGCAGACAAAACTTAAGCCCCGTTGTTCAATCATGTCCAATAGAATTGTACATTTACTACCACAATCTGTTTCCAAACATTCTTTTTCTATTGTGCTGGATGTGAGTGAACTATGGAATGATTTGACATATGTATTAACCCCAATTAATAAATAAAATAATAATTTAGGAGGAGGAAAAAGCTAAAAACAAACAAACCCCCAAACAAAAAATATTTAAACCCAGGGAGTTCTACTCCAGATGTTATCTCATTCTTAAATATTTGAATATCCTGGTGTGATTAGGATTTTCTTAGTCTCAATCTTTCTTATTGATAAAACCAAGGTAGCAAGATATTGCATACATAGTCATTATGAGTATTAATGTGCAATGATATAAGTAAAGGTGCTGGTGCAGAGTCTATCCCAGAGCTGGAGATCAATTAGCAATAATATTCTCCTCTCTCCATAGCTTACCTGTACATACGCATGTGTATCTATCTATGTATAAATATATGTAGACAGGCACATAACATGCACTTCATAACTGCAGTGCCGGGGCGTACTCTTACACACTTTCATAGTATTGGAATTGCAGACTGTGCGCAAGCCCATTTTTATACGTCCATCGCCACCTCAAAGACCTAGATGGGCTTACTGGCTAATTGAAAACAGTTTCCTTCTTAACTGGGTTTTATTTTACAGCCCGTGTGTTCCAATGGCTGTAAGCATGGCCTTTTTGGAATTTTAAGAGAGTTCATTGAAGGTTTCAAAATTGCCTTCATCTTTTTTTTTCTTTTCCAAATGCAGATGACCCGTGATTTCAATCGCAAGTCACAGAGGGGTGAGGAGAAAGACGGAAACAGGCTAGCAGAGGGACGTGTGATGATATGCTTTTGCTCTTGTGCTTACTGTTTCTTTCTCGTGTGTGGGAAAGGGTGTGATGTCATCTAGTCTCCACCCCCTGTGAGTAAGCTTACGGCACCACCAAGTGCAGCCGCCCGCCCGCCTCTGTCACTGGGAGACAGTCCACTTAAAGGCAGCTCCCCGGCTGCGAGACACTCACCAGCATCACTCCCCGGGAGGTGGCAAACGCAACATGCTCTCCAGCCTGGGGTGTCTGCTTCTCTGTGGAAGTATTGCACTAGCCTTGGGAAATGCACAGAAATTGCCAAAAGGCAAGTAGCTCTGCTATTTTATGCTTTAAGAGTAATGTTTAAGAGATACGAGTTTTGAAGGGTTGTTAATTGAATATGATCTGCTTTACCAGATGGGGGAATAGAGCTGTTCTGCAGAAATGAAAAGTTCACCTATGTCAGGGAGTCATTTAAACTTTTACCTCCCACCCTTCTCCTCTGCTATTTACTTTTCAGCTGGAGTCTTTACTGCAAAAATGAAAACCAACTTCTTACTCAGTTTAGCAGATGTTCACAATGGCTTGAATGGGACAGGTTCCATCTGCAGGGTCTTTATATTGAATCACCCTATGTTGCTGCGTCTGATAGTCTGTTAAAACGTGTTGTTTGGTGTGCTTATTTCCCTAACCAGATAGGAAACTACTTCTAGTTTAAAGTCGACAAGAAGCTTGCTCTGTAAGCTGGAAGGCGTGGGGTAAACTGCACATGGACCTGACAGCGGAAGGCTGCGGCTTCCCAGTGCGGAGCACCAACTCGGGGCATGTGCTTGTCGGTAGACACTTTGCGCCAGTGTCTGCACGAGGGTCTGATTTGCTGGACAGCACACTCCCCATTTTCTCTGTGAACTTGCTCTCATTTTAGTGTTGCCATTTTGTTTACTAATACCACTGGAAGCAAATGAATTTCTAAATTTAGACCTTAGAAAGAATCGACCCTTTGAACCCCTCAGCACCAACACGAGAGGCTGTGCTGTCTCGGGACCCATTTGCTGCCCGCCCTTTTGTTTCTTTGCAGCGGTACTTTTCTGAGCCAGTTCCTGGTCTGCAAAGGCTTTTTAAGGTTGCAGACAGCGGGAGTCCGCAGGATTATGAAAAACGGGCTGGGGCTTAGGATACCGCTATGATGGAAAATTTTGAACGGAGTCATGTAGGGCCATGGGCTGGCCAAAAGCCAGGTGTCTACAGCGCCAGAAAGAAAGGTGGGTCATGCTGGAAAAGGTGAGAGACGGTTGATAGGTCCTCTTTCTGGACACGTTGCTGGAGGGTCCTCTTGTCCCAAGTGCAAGCCGATCTCCCCTCAGAATGTAAAGTGAAACTTGGAGTTCTGAAGGTGACAGCTGGAAAGTTTGTGTTCTTACGATTTCACGTGATGGTGGGAGAGTAGTGAGAAAAAAACCGGGCTCCTTAAACCTTTCAGCTGTGGCTTCCACACTATGCAAAAGAAAGTACTGCCACTCTTAGATCTTTTTCTTTTGCAAAGAATGTTGTCCCTCGCTGCTGTAGGAAAAGTGTTTACACACGTCAGTCATGAAGCACAGCACCCCAAATTATTTGTCATTACTGATGACATATTTGACAGGGACATCCCATTATGCAGAGCCAGGGTTTTTTGCGGCTCCACACCTCCAGATGGTTTTATTTTGTTTGTACTCATTGCAGTGGGGGGACAGCCATAGTGCTGTTACCGTCAACTTCTGCAAATTTCAAGTGCTTGAATGATCGTGCTGCAAGCCCTGGATAAAAAGCTCTCGACACAATGTCCCTTTCGTTGCAACGGTGGAAGAGAATCCCAATCGTCAGGAAGGTGCTCTGTGTTTTCGTCCGCAGCATGGTCACACACGTGCCTGTAAGAGAACTTAAAAAACCCATAGTCTGTAAACTTGTCCAATGATGATAATTATAAGATAGACCACCTGTCCTTTTGTTTCTACTGTTTTCTTTAAACGCTGGAGGTCATTGAGGAACTTCCTGTGAGCTCAAGGTGCTGTGCTCAAACTGAGTTCCAGGACGGGGGTTCTCTCCTTAAAAGGGTCTGTGTGCGTGGACCACGTGCGGGGCTCAGCCGCGCTCGCCTTTGACTTCCGAGGCATCTCAGGCTTTGGTGAAGTCATAGCGGATGCTAGCATTTTCACAGATCTGAGAAAACCTCAGTTAAGCGCCCTGTCCAACTTTTTAACCCATGGGCTCCCCAGACCCCTGTGACCAGGAATCCCTTTTTCACGTAAAAAAGCTATAGCGTCTTGCCAGGTGCTTGTACTTCCCAAAATATATTCTGGGAAATGCTGAATGGAATTAGAAAAAAAAAGGTGGGGGTGGGATAGAAGGGTCCCCCCTCCTACACCCCCCATTTCTCTGTTTTGGTATTTCATGTTCGGTCGTATGTAATTGTTGTATAGCGGGTTTGAGGTAGTAAAGACAAGAGCTTTGGTGATGCAATGCTTATGCCTTGGTCTGTTAACTGCAAAGTCAGTAGTTGGAAACCATCTGGGAGAAAGGTGAAGCTTTCTACTCCCCAAAGAGCCCCAGTCTCAGAAAACCACTGACATGGTTCTACTCTGTCCTGTAGGGTTGCTATGAGTTGGAATTAACTTAATATTAATGAGTTTGTTTTTTGGCATGGAAGAACACAAACAATCACATTGTCTAGTGACTTCCAGACTTTTGGCTTTTGTGCCAACCTGGCCAATAAACACATGTAGAGTTAATAAGGTTGCCGTTTAATTGAAGGGCAAAGAGATACATGGCTCAGTGAGCCTCACCTTTCTGCTTCTTGCTCTCTGATGATCGGATCAGTGTGTAGCTACCTTAGCTAGTTCTCTGCCTCAACTTGTGAGCTACCCTACCTGTGGGACACCTAACCTGTGGACTGTTTGAGGCTCCTTCAAGACCTGCTTCACCACACAGCTGGTGTATACATCACTTGAGCTGGGGACTGTCAGACCCGGTCATCTGGCTGACTGTTGTTGACCTGCCCTGCTGTTTGCTTCCTGTGGCCGGACTGCCTGTGTTGCTCTACAGAAGACTCAGCTGTCTGCTTCCTTGACTTGCACCCAGCAGCCCTCGTGAGTTGAAGGACTGCCAGTGTATCAACTGTCTCACAGAAGTGAATGAACTGAGCCATTTGTACTGCTCTGTGGACTAATAGGCTGTTTATTTCTTATGTTGAATATATCCATCTAGCTAGCTAGCTATAATTCTACAGTGCCCTGCTTTTGTTTCTCTAGAGAACCCTGTCCAATACAGATTTATCCTCCAAACCAAAGCAAACTCATCGTGAATTTATATAACGTTTCCAACCACGGAGCAGCTGGTGGGTTCAAACTGCTAGTAACCCCACTATGCCACAAAGCCAAAAAAAATGAAACTCACTGCCATCGCTTGCAATCACAGTGGCCCCACAGGACAGAGTCAGATTGCCCCTGTGAGTTGCCGAGGCTGGAACTATTCAAGTGGGCCCTGTCTTGCCCCTTAGGGGCAGTCGGTGGTTCCACATTGATGACTTTGTGGTTAGCAGCCCACCTGGTAACCATTGTGCCACCAGCGCGCCACTGAAATGTTACTTTTCAATCGGGCTCGATTTCTAGGGTAAAATAGCCAGTTAAGAATGTTCAGGCAGGGGGTTGCGGGGAGGGTGGGAGGGAAAACTTGTTCAACAAAGAACTTGTTCATCAAAGCAAGCCCATTTAACAGATTTTTAAAAATGAAAATGAACTTAGTTACACAAATGTGTTTGTCTGGGTAGACTAGAGAAACAAATCCATGGACACACATATGTGTATAAGAAAGATTTACATACAGGAGGAATTGAACATTGAGAAAACATCCCAACCCCATCCAGTCCAAGGCCATACGTCTGATATTAGCCCATATGTCTGGTACCAATCTTTAAAGTCCTCTGCAGACTCACGAAACACATGCAATGCAGCCAAATGCAGGATGATCACAAGCCAGTGGGTAGAACGACTTTGGGTCCAGTGGCGTTGTAAGCATCTCAGCGCTGGTAGGGGTCTCTCTGTGGCTTCTCTGGCTTCCGAGGTCTGATTGTGTCCTTGTGGCCTGTCTTCTGCAATGTCTCCCAGGGAGTAGCAGAGAAGGAGAGGGGTCTTCTGCCTCCAAGGAGGAAGTACCCGATTTCCCAGAATTCTCAGGAGAAGGCCATGCCCACACAGAAGTCTCATTGGCTATCTCCAGATTGACAGCCTAGACTCCACCCCTACACTCTTACTCCTTACACTGACACCACATTAAGTGACTAACACAACGAATAAGTCCCTCTGTTTCTCATTTCACCACAGGCTGTTGAAAACCTAATCACGGGTCACCCTTTGGGAACCCCTGACCTAGTTATTAAGCATTCATTTGACAAATGAAGACAAAGCAGGGCCAGGGGACTGTGCAACGTTCTGAAGCTGGAACTGGATCCTCCTTGGACTCAGAGTCTGTGCTCAACCTCACTTCTTCCCTCAGCAAGCTGGCTCTCCTGGATCCATTCTGAAGTTTACACGTGAACTCTACCCTTTCCTTCAAAAACTTTTTTTTTTTAAAGTTTCTGGTAAAGCTAAAAAATATATCAACTTAATGTTCACATTTTCTCAACAATATATCTTTGAGAAGGAGAGAGGTGATGCAAGTAGGCCATGAGGCAGCATAATGGCCATCTTTGCTGTAGTCATCTTGGCCATAAATATAAGAAATCACTTGCCATGGGTTGATGTCTGCATGCATGCCTAATCATATACCTTGTAGAAAATAAGTTATTGGAAGTTTCTTGCTTACCTCAGGAATGCAGAGAGCATACGCTGTTGTGACGTGTGGTGGGTCCACTTACACGCATAGCAACCTCATGTGAAGGAGTGGCGCTATGGGGCTAGTTTTGACTGCAGTCTTCACAAAAGCAAAGAACCAGGTCTTTTCCGTGCCGAGCCACTGGTTGGGTTTAAATGGCCAACTTTCTGCTTGTAGCTGAGGTGCTTAGCTGTTTGCATCACCAGGGCTCTTAGAGTATGAGTTAAGAGACTAATGTTAATATAGGAGCCCTTAGGGCCTGGTGCTTATGCATTGGACTGGTAACCACAAGGTCAGCAGTTTGAAACCATCAGTAGCTCTGCATGAGAGAAACAAGGGTTTCTACTCCTGTAAGGAGTTACTATCTCAGAAACCCACAGGGGCCGTTCTACCCTGCTCTCTATAGCAAAACAATGAATTGTCCATTCAACGACAATGGGTTGAGCTGAATGTTAATATAGCTCTTCTCAGGCCAAC